TATAAAGAAAGAATTATACGAGGTAATATTTGAACGAGTATAATAATAAAAAATGGATAATCGATATGAAATGGATAGAAATAATCGATACGAAAGTGAGACATAATCGATATTAAAAGTTGTTGCAAGAAAAATTCATTGAAGAATAATATTGTTATCAATTCAATTAACGAACACCTATGATCACTTTTATACATGATAACACGTTACAATCTAGATATATATATAATATTTATTATATATATAATATAATAAATAATAATATAATGTAATTCTTACAGTTTTTCCTAATACAATACCCATATTTTTAATAATACAAAATATAATCGATATGAAACAAAAAAAGAGAAAGAGAAAGAGAGAGAGAGAGAGAGATAGAGAAATAATATAATCGATAAGAATACAGATTTTATTGTAAGATTTTGGATAAGAAGGTGCGTGTGTCAAGGTGCGTAAAAGGGGAACGAAGTAAGAAAGATCATCATCTCGTTCGTTCATGGTTTTCCTTTTCGTGGTTAGTGGCCGCGAAATGTATGCGAAAGGAGAGGGATCAAAACGTAATAAAAATACCCCCTGAAAAAAATGTCGATCGATAAATCAAACGTGGTGGCATGGTGATGGCGGTTGGTTCGTTGGTTGGTTGGTTGGTTGGTTGGTTGGGGTGCCGGTTAAAACAGAAATTGGCCCACGATATGTGTAACCAAACCGATACACTGCACTGCACTGCACTGCACTGCGGTGCACTGCACATTGCAATGTATTGCATAGAAGGCAAATTTTCTTGTCGAATGAAGGTGCTACGTAACGAGGGGACCCTCAAGGGACTTCCCCTTCAATGAGTGCGAAAAAGAAAACAGGACCGTATCGATGTGATTACACCAATTTACAATTATTTTTCATTATTTTCATTATTATTATCGTTACTTTATTTTAAATTTTATTATTTTATTTTTTTTATCCTCTATTGTATTATAATTTATATGAGAAAACTTTTGATAGAATTAATATTAGTGACGTTTGTTTGTTTCTTTCTTTTTTCATCGTAAATTTCTTTTACTCTCGTTCTTTTCAATTTCAATTCTATTCATTAATTTGATATTTTATATTCTATGTATATTTGTATCTTATCAATTTTTCAACTATAACGAATTTTCTTCTTCTTTTTTTTTTTTTTTTGATTCTTTTAATTATAACCAAATAATATTCCTTTGAAATTTCGTATCACAACGAATAAATTAATTTATCCCCATTAGAAATACATGTTTTCTAATTAATTGTTCTCATCACGCGTACACGCGATCGATATCGATAAAGGTAACAACATTCTTCAACAAATATCATCGAATTATTTTATCGAATTGAAAAAAAGAAGAAAGGAAAAAAAAACAAAACAAGAACAACAATTACTTCCAATTTCAAAATACCCCTTCTCCTCCAACCCCAAAACAATTTTCCTCCCTCATTTAAAATATATAGTTTATATATTGTACGACTAATAAACGATCAAATTTAATTACTCGTTAACGAATGAAGAAAAATAATACTCCGGGGAGATTCAAAGTTCTTTTATTTTTTTTTTTTTCGGATCAGTTCAATTCGTCGGTATATATCGTTACGGCCCTGTAAAAATCACCAACAGCGTTTTACAGATGCATTCCGCCACGTAACCAAGCTGCGATAGGGGCTTCTACCTTCGAGCTAAAGTATCGCCGATCTTTTGCGTTCCCGAACGCCGACGACGACGACGAGGACAACGAAGACGAGGACGAGGACGAGGACGAGGACGAGGACATGCCCAGAAGCAACGAAGAACTTGGACGACAGAAGAAGAAGAAGAGGAAGAAGAAGAAGAAGAAGAAAGGGGTGGAATCAAGCAGGTTGACCACGTTAGGTGGTGGGGAGAAGGGGGTGGGGAAGGGAGTTGGGGGAAAGAGAGGGGTAAGAGGGTTGCGAGAGCTTTTTTTTTTGAAATTTTTCAGATAAATCTCCGAGGATGAACGGGAAACGTTAAGGGGACTAAACTGGGAGGGTTGAGAGGGGGGGTGGGGGAAGCAGGAATAGCAGGGGGGAGTCTTAGGGAGGGAGAAGGGATTTGATGTAGGGCTATTCTCTGTCTCTCTTTTCCCTTTGCCCGAAATCCTGACAGCCAACGATAAAAACTGTAATTTACGATGGCCGGTAACGTCATTCGATAATTTTCTCGTCTTTTCTACTTACAGACGTTTTACGTTACATTTACTGAATAATAATAATGATAATGATAATAATATGCAATATGTCGATAACCAAATGGGAAATAGAGGTAAAGATTTTATAAAAGAGATAAGAAAGAATATTCTATAATTCATTTGGATTAATATTTTTCGATATATTTATATATGGTAAGTATATTTTGTTAAGTGTATATAATTCAATGTTTAATAGATTCAAATCGTGAATTATTTAACATTGTTTCAGGTTTATTTAAATGTTCGATCGTTGATATAACATTATTGATATTATTCTATTTTTTTTTTCTTACATAATATATACCACATATTTTATTATAATTATTTCTAATTACTTCTATTAATTTTATTCAATTTTTGTTTTTTTTTTTTTTTATAATTTATTCGTAACACATCAATTATATTTTTGATTATATATATATTATCAACGATTAACATTAAAAAGTAATCATTGATATAGTTTACAATATCGTATATTTATCAAATAATAATATTTATGATAAAATAATTACTATTTAAATTGACATTACATATCTTTATTAATAGCAACGAAGATAACACAAATTAGAATTGTTATAACATTTTCGTTATAATATTTATTTATTTGTGATAGTGTGTAATAAAGTGAATGAACGTTTAATTTGTAATTAAAAAAAAAAAAAAAGAAATAAGATCAAATAATCTTCTACGAAGTTAATCGACGTAGAAGGTAGGACAGGTCGATGTTCTTATTTAGCCTGAAGCATATATAAAAGGTAATGCAAGAAGAGAAGTTAATTTTTCGGCACTATGTCGAGCATCGATCGATAATTCTTGACTTGGTTCGGTGTTCATACATATATTTATACGTATAAATAATTATATATATATATATATATCTACATATATGTATGTGGGTAAAGATTCTGGTGGTGCATTTTTATACGCATATACGCATAGATATAATATAAAAATAACAACGGCAATGATAATAATGACGGTGCGAGACAAGAAGGAGGCGGGTACCCCGTTCGAAGAACCCGTTCGAAAGGGAACGTATGTATTATATTATATATATATATATATATATGTATATATGTGTTCAAGCAGGAAAGAATTCATTATGACGGCTGTTATCTATCAGAAACTTTATCTCGATATAACCGAAGGAGAGTATACCGTGTCGGCATGAAGAGAATCCACGATAAAGATGTTATTTACGATGTAAGTCAAAATCGGATAACTTCCTTTTAGTAGTTACCTTTTATACATTGTTGTTATAAAATATAAGAAAATATGAATCAAAAGAATCCTTTAAATTTTCTTTCTTCTTCTCATAGATATTTAAACAGATTATATATTCGTTATATACAATATATTAATATAAATTATTATTTATGATGTAAATCAAAATTGGATAACTTCCTTTTAGTAGTTACTTTTTATAAATTATTGTTATAGAATATAAGAAAATATGAATCAAGAGAACCCTTTAACTTCTCTTCCTTCCTCTCAAAGATTTTTATAGATTAGATTCTCTCTCTCTTCGTTATGTATAATATATTAATATAAATTATTATTTATGATTTAAATCAAAATCAGATAATTTCCTTTTAGTAGTTACCTTTTATACATTGTTGTTATTAAATATAAGAAAATATGAATCAAGAGAACTCTTTAACTTCTCTTCCTTCCTCTCATAGATTTAAAAAGATTAGATTATTCGCGTTATATTATAATATATTAATACATACATCATTTAACATTTTTAAATAAAAAAATAACTAACAAGATTTTTTCTAACAATACTCGTATCCGTGTTATTTCATTGAATATTTTTTACGAATTCGATTAAATAACCTAAACTTGTAATTAATTTTTTTTTCGGACATAAATTTTGAAATAAATATAATATCTGCTGGACTAACTTGTAATTGGAATGAAAAAAAAAGAAAGAAACAAACAAACAAACAAAAGGTGGGTGGTGGGACATGTAATACAGGTTTTACAAATCCGAAATAAAGAGAGACAGAGAGAAGAGATTTTTAACGAAGCCGACTAATACGAAAGTACCATAACTTCTTTTTCCATGTTATTTGAGGATGTATCTTCTTTTAGTTGCTATCATCAACCGTTTGAAGGGATAAATCGGTACGAAACTACGAACAGCATCCTTTTCTGATAATACGAGAGACAGCTTTTTCCTCGTTGCAGAGTCGGCGATCCAAAAGAGGAAGAAAGAATAAAACCGAATGACAGAGAGAGAGAGAGAGAGAGAGAGAGAGAGAGAGAGAGAGAGAGAGAAACAGAAAGAGAAAGAGAGAGAAAGAATATCCAAGAAACGCGGAAAGAAATCGAACGCTTAAACAACGAAAGCGAAATGCCAGGATGAGGAACCGGAGTTGTACGAAGGGGTAGGGGGGAAGGAGGGGGGGGGGCGGGGTTTGCGTGAAAGAAAGAAGGATGAAACTATAGTGAAAGAATAAACTAACATAAGAAAGAAAGAAAGAGAGAGAGAAAGTGAGGAAGAGGGGTAAGGGGGAATCAAGCCAACGTTATGACGCGAAAAACGGACAGAATGCAAGCTGGA